GTACTTGTACTTCAGTAAATTTTTTGAGTACTTTCTCCACCACTGTTGATACCAAAAGGAAGCTAAAAATATAACAAACTTTATCATTTACGCCTTAACTGCCCGCAACACAAGACTGTTTATGAATAAACAAAGTAGTTATATTACCGAAGTGAAGATGAGCTGTAGCTGAGGTTCAATCCCAGAAAACAAACGTGGTTTGATGCCAAAAGTGAAACTTTTTGAATCTTCTTCCTTTCTTTCTATAATGGCAGATCGTGAGGAATTTATGGGTAAATGCCGCCACCTACTGTCCATGAACGTGTAACAGCAATAGCTCTCACTTGTTAAATTCTGTTTTTTAATTTCGCATTATTGAAGATAAATAAATAATGCTTGCATTATTATATAAAATTTCTCTTCATTTACTACAGTTTCCATTATTCCTTTTAGACTAAATTATTTTCATTCTCACCGTTTTCCTCAATTTCCTTTTTCAGATTTGCATCACAATTCATCAATAAATGTTCTACATGTTATTTCCCTCCACATCCCTCATATTTATCTTTATCTTTCCAAATAAATATATACAGTAACATATATTATTTCTTCTTATCTGTCTCAGCATTTTTAATTAATACTGACTTTTGTTTTTGTTCCATTCTCATCTTTATTCCATGTTTTTTTTGTCATATTTCTAGTTCTTCACTTTTATTAAATACTTTATTTGCCCTCTGCTTTCCCAAAAGGAATTCTAACAGATTACATTGTGATCACATACAATTACTACATATTGTGATGCTATTCTGATTTTCCATATTGTAGTTTTGCATTTGCTGTAAACTGTCCTTTCCTTGTGTCCAGCTGAAGGTGGTGGAGGTGGTTGGTGCCTGGTTCCCTTCAGGACTCAGTAAATGTTCAGAAGTTCTTGAGGTGATTTATTTGCTTTATCCTTTTTGTTTTAGTTTTGGAACCAGTTTTCCTGTTCAGACTGTCCTCCCTGCTGTCAGGCTTTAACATTCCCACTTCCTTTTCCAGAGTTGGTTTTGATCTGAAATGTCTTTTAATGAAAACTAGAAATAAATGTAACTTTTTAAATCGTCAAACCACGTCTCTGTTATTGGTGCTGATGGTCTTGGGTACAATTCCCATAGCGCTGTTTATGACACTTTTTGGTTGCTCTGCCCAGTGAAACGTGAATTTAAAGAGCAAAGCACCAAATAAATCTTTTACCTTCAGCTGCCACAACCATTAGAAACTGAAAAATGTGTGAATACAATAAAAGGAGTCAGACTGTATTTTAAGCTCTCTATTTATTAACGTGTTAAAACATGGATAAAATATTAATAAACTTGTTTATACACAAATCTGAATGAATTATATGACAGAGTATGCAATCAATCATGTGATTATAAAATCCAGTTGAGTCAAACTCATTTTATAATATAATTCAAATAAATTACATTACAGTTAAATTCAGTTCATTTCACAGCGACTGGTAAAAATGTCATTCAAAGGAAGAAAGTTTTAGTTTTCATCCGTCCCTCATCCTCAGGATGAATGTAGTGCAGAGGTCAGAAACTCAGAATAAATCTTCATCAGAACCCAGATAAGTTTATACAGAAACAAAATATAGAATCAATGCTACATAAATATTTTATAAATTAAGGAGGAAATAAAGAGTTGAGGCTGTTGTAGCTCTTTTAGTGGCTTTATTTCGAAGCTAAATATATAAATTTTGAGTCGGCTGTACAAGATAATATGTTGTAAGTCATCTTCAGACATTCACACATTTATGCTCTGATATTCAGGATGTTAATGTGGGATTCAGCATGTTGCCCTAAACACAGCTAACATTTTAATCATGATTTAATAAGCTGCAGCCAAAACATCAGACACATGATGTGTAATGCTGGTTTTCTCTTTCACTGCTACTGCAGCTCCAACCAAAGCCTCAGGATCTGCCCAACAACAACTCCACCAATAGCTCCAACAGCCACTCCACCAAACGTTGCTGAAGCACCCAACCAAGCACCCTGGATCAATGAGTTGTTTCTCTCTGCCTGCCTTCCTGCATCTCCAGGATTATTACCAGGATTTTCTCTGCGCAGTCGTTCTGCTTCTTCTTCCTTGGCTCTTTGCGCCTCCCTGAACATCTCATTGGTGTAGAAACTTCCTCCATTTTCTCCATTTCGTTGAACCATCCTGTTGATCTTCTGCACCAATCCCCTGACTTGACCAGGATCCTCAACTGTGTTGTCAAAGACATGATATTTATCTTCAAAATCCTGGAAGATGGAGCACTGACTGATGATCTGTTTTAGAGGCTGGGATGTTTCTAACAGATTTTCCATCGTCATGTTTTCCTCTCTCAGCTCGTCTCCATGGGTAAACAGGACCATGGTGAATCTGGCTGCTTCTTCTCCAAACATTTTCTTAATTATTTCCACTATTTTTTCATCTTCTTCAGTGAATCTGGTCGGTTGGAGAACAATCAGGAACACATGAGGACCAGGAGCCGCCATGCTGATGCATCTAGTGATCTCTTCATCAACCTCTTCATTACCTTTACCTGTCTCAAACAGACCTGGAGTGTCAATAACAGCCAGATTTAAGCCACCAAAGCTTTTAGTTTTCTTCTGACAGGTTGTTGTCACAGAGGAAAGAGAGAGTTTAGACTGAAACAATTTTCTCCCTAACATGGTGTTTCCTGCTGCACTTTTTCCGACTCCAGTTTTTCCCAGAAGAACGATCCTGAGGTCTGCATCCTGTCCAGCTGTTGGAGAATTAGAAAACAATAGACTGAAAACATTTTTTCAGATATAAGTGGAAACTAAAAATGGGTTTAGTGATACCAAATGTTTCATGGCTAGATTTATTCATCTGGAAAATAATTTAGGTAGATTACAGAACTAAATAACTAAGAAAAAGTTAAATCCTATGCAGATTGTCATTTCTTATGGAAATTTGTTTTAGCAAATATTTTGTAAATAAATAGTCTTATAACCACTGAAGTGTTGGATCATTTGGAAAACCAAAACAATAAATGCACCAAACATAGAAAATGTTCACATACCAGCTGAGCTACCTCACGGTTTTTGTATATTAATCATTTAATATCCTTTAACAAACTTAGTCTGTACATCATTCAATCAGATGAAGCTTTAATGTTTGGGGGGAAAAAACATTACAGCTCAGTACTTTAACCTCGACTTTCATTAACTCCTGAGCTGACATATGGGCGTAAAATCCATAAACATCATCTAAGCGTCTACTTTAAACTCAGTTGACTGATGATGATAAAGCTTGTTCAGTGAGCGTGGGGATCTATTTTCTGCTGTCTGATACTTAGTTGCTTCCTTAGATTGTTGTCGAAAATTAGACTTTATTTTCCACCAACTTACCTGGCAAAATAAAAAAATAAAAGTAACAACACATTATATTCCACAATCTTACAGATTATTTTTCCCACAGGCCTCCCTAGCTCTTCCCTGAGTCTGAGATCTCGTATTTCTTTTTCATAATGTTTCCATTATTGGAATGGAAACATCACAACGGATGTCTTCTGCTGGTTATCAGATCTTAGTCAGGTCATGTAGAGGAACTGATAGAATGCTACTTCTCTGTTAACTCAGGTCAGCAGGTAGGAAACATGGACCTGAAGTACGACTCGTTCAAAATATTTTGCCTATCTTCTTTGCCTTCTTTGCATGGCTGTCTTTATCTGACAGCAAAAATTATCAGCTCTGGGAAAAATATAGAGGAGCATTTGGCCCGGACCTGTAGATGGATATGAGGTTCAAAGTTGTTTTTTTTTTTACGTCAGTTGATTGGGGGAAAAAAACATTGTCCACAGATGCATAAATACTGAATTTGGGCCAGATGAGGCACAAAACCAGAATTATAATTTCATTTTCAGGCAGATTTCTCTAGGACCAGGCCTGATCACAGCCACAGCGGGTTGTTTCGTTTATCTTTCAAACCAAAAAAGCTCATGATCCCAGCCTGACCCTGAGCTCACATATGGGCGTAGAACACAACAGATCTGAATGCTGGACCAAAGGACTTTTAAATAATGTCAGACTTTATTTACAAGTCTGACAACGTTAAATAAAGGTTAGTAGAGCTGATAAAACCTTCACTCACTCTATCATCCGAGTTAACTCTGTGGTTTTAACATTTGATTAAACCTGCAAAATTTACATTGAAGATCTCTAAAACATCTTCAAAGGCTCTTTGGTTCTAGAGTTCAAAGAACCAAAGAGTCTTTGAAGTTGACAAAAAGTCATTGAAATATCTAAACATTTAAAAAATTTAAGACTAGTTTTTAAAAATATTTTCTCAAAGGTAAAAAAAAAAATACCTTCATGGCATTGAAAACAATTGTTGTCTTTACAAACAAGCAGAAAACAGCCGTCTGTTATCGCTGTTACTTGTTAAATGTTGGAGTTATAAGGTAATTACATTAAGGAAAATACTTTTTAGTATTTTTTTTTTTTTAGATTTAATGAATATCAAATGGTTAAAACGCTGTTTCTGTACAAAGTCTTAAAGATTCATTATTTAAATGTTTTTCTGGTAAATAATGTTTCCTCATGGACATTATAATGAATGAAACTTCTTACCAAGTCGGGCGTAGCTGTTGTTGGCCATTTCCTCTGTTCTCTTGCAGGTGGTTGATTTGTGATGTTTTGCTGTTGATGACTTGGTCGTGAATAATTTTACTTTTTAATTCCTGCTGTTTTATAGTCTGACTCCAAACTCCTCTCTCTGAATCCGTCTGCAGTCACAGTCAGAACCAGAGAGGACGCTTTAAGTGGAATGTGTTGAAGGAATGTGACAGCTAAAAGTTTCAACAAACACAGATAGACCAGCTCATATGATAGAAAGTTATATTTAATTTAGCAAAATTAGTTTATAATGAGGTTTTCATCATTTCAATAAAATATTTTATTTGTCTATTAAAGTGTCCGCTGTTTTCAAAATGTTTCGTTCACCTATTGTAACTTTACTTCCTCTGGTTTTTGCTGCTGCCTGTTTTAAGGCAACTGAGAAATAATGTTGCAGGGGTAGTAACTCCAATATGACGACACAGACATGACTTTTTCACAACGTTTAGCCTTGGTTTATTTAACACCTTGAAAACTACAGAAATACAAAAGCTTTAAGCCCTTTACTGACTTATAAA